GATTTGAAAGTATCACAAAAACCAGGTGCACCAAAGCGAGAAAAGAGAGTAGATGAGATTAAAAGAAAGTGTGGTTGTTGCCTCTCCACCTGGCCATAAAGCAACACTCCCCCTCCCTCCGCTGAGGCCTTTGTTTCACGGCTAATGGTCCAGGTTAATTGCACAGGTGACGCTCTGTGGGGGAACAGATGGGCTCAAATGTGTTCAAAAACAATCCGCAGCAAGCACAAAAAAACTAGGTACGACTTGTTCCTCGCCTCTCCATTCTGCTGTGTTTTTCTCATCTTCTCCACCGGAGTCACAGAAGGTGAGTCTGGTGGAGGTTAAACCCTCACCGCGTTCCTGTTCACTGTGATTTCAACTCATCAAGCACACGGCCTGTAAGCTCTCTTTAGATCCCATTACAGAGCAAATTACACTCAGGGTTTGGCCACTAGAAGGACAGTGGATAGTAATGGATAACAGACATCAGTCTTATGCCTAATTTTCCTCATGATGTATGATTGAATTTGGCTCTGGGGCCAGTGTTGTGCGCATATGGATGGGACTCAGCTTTTTTCAACTTTTTTATTTTTCAAACAGCGGAAGAAAAAAACAGAACAGAAGTAACATTTTAAAGGCCTAGGATTAAAAGAATGTCAACAGAAACTTAATAGAAATCAGTAAAAAGTTCATTAATATTGATTCCAGGTATAAAGCCATAAACAATAATAAAAACTCTGACTAGAATAAATTAATCTTATGGATAAATTAATCAATAAAACAGATAAACTGGTTATTTACAGTAATTTCCTCACATATGTAGCTAAATTTCCGTAGATATGTTACTCATCTTCAAGACTGGGATCAATGTGTATTCTATTCTACACTACTAAAATGTATTACATAATTTACATGTCACTGTTGCTACCAGATTAACTCATGGCATATAGGATATCATGATCTACGGCTAAAGCAGATACAGACATGTCGCAGTCATTTTCAGAATTCTCAGAACTATTTGTGTCTTTTGTCCCCCATGAATCACGGAGGCTGCATGTGAGCCATCAGAATGGAGTTCTCAATCGATCCTCTTGTGTTCTTTCTCCCCGGCACAACATGCAGGGAGATGACAGATAGCAAATTGAATTTATGAACAGGCTTTGTTGACACGGCCGCATAATTATTGGAATGCCATGCCTTTGGTGTTTAAAAAAAAAGAAGAAGAAGCCCAGTATTCCAAATACGCACAAGGTTTTCTGCTCGGTTGATTGAGTGAAAAGCTTTGTCATGTTTTTTTTTTTTTTTTCAAAGACGACAGCTGTTCCTTCGTTTAGTTATATACACATTTCGAATGCCGTCGATGACTGATTTTAATTGGCAGGAATAAACAAATGAGATGTCATGTTTTGCATAATGTTGGTTTGTGTGTTTGATTCCTAATTGCTCCTTGATTGAGGATTAAGAGTTTGCATGGAGGCTACCATGATGCATTGATTTTGTGAAAGCCTCGGATAGACGCTGGTGTCTCCTCTACGTGATCTTGCCACTAGCAGCTGTGAGTATAGGTCATGCTGCTGACATTAGCTGGAGTGTGCTCTCTATCTGCCTCCCTCTAACTATCTACCCATCTCTCATTGTCTTAGTCTGTCAAGCTTACACTCACTTGTCAGCTGAGAAATCTGTAGCATTCATTTAAATGATTTTAGTGCAGCCAGTACTTTTGCAACTACATACCATGCATTTGTAAAGCTAGGGATGTAAAGCAAGTTTTTCTTTTTTGGAGTAGGTGAGGATGTGTGCGCCTGTGTGCATACTGCGGTGTATGTTTTAGAAATAATTAAATGTCACAGGGCTCAGGCCGTCAGGTAGCTGGGAAGGTGTTTTACGACCTTGTGTTCTGCTTCGCTCCACTAGTCACTCTCAATAACCCACTCCAGTGCTTGCACTACAGAACCCACAGAGACCCTCTTCACTTTTCTCCCTGCTCTCTCTCTCTCTCTCTCGCCTTCGCTCCTCTCCCTCATTCTTTCCCTAACATCCTCCCTCCCTAAAAGTGACACACACTGCATCTGTGCTAATTCGTTTCCTATCTCTTCTTTGTTGACACTTGAGTTCGTGTTCTGCTCCTTGGATTGGTAAATTGCGGCAGCGCTCTTCTTCTGTTACTTATAGGTCCTGATTTTAGGGTGAAACTAATTTGGTATGTGAAGTCTTTTATGCCTATCATGCTGAGAGCACATTATTTGTCTTATCCCCCCTAATTAAGAAAGTGTGATAGTGCTGCTTGTAAATAAATTGCAGACTGAGCTAGTCCTCAGGGCCCACTGTTACATTTAGCCCAGCCTTCTGGATCCAGGTTCCCCCTGATATGCAGGTGACGGTGGGATTGGGGAGAGTAAGGGGGGGGGTTGGCAGAATCAAAGGGAAAGATATGGAACAGGTACATGGTCTCTCTCTGGGAGGTAGAGTTTCACAGAGCTTTATTTCTGCTCTTAAAGGTTTAACCGGTTAAGAAAGTACCTAAAAGTGCAAAAGCCGCAACCATGTTCCACACTTCCACAAGCTTTAATAAGATCATTAAAGGACCCCGGGGCTGTCTGTTGAGGTGCCCACCAAGGTGTTTCATCACTGGAAGGGGTTTGTCGATGTCTTGGGTCTTAGCCCATCTTAACCCATTTAGAAAGCAATTTCCTGTGAGCAGAGGGGATCTTTCCTCTTGAGAAAGATCTTTGGGCATAAAAGGTTAGCTTTTCTGTAATTCCCCAGCATGCAATCTACCACTGCTGCTAATGAGAAGCGGATGAATATTTGCCCTGGGTTTAACAGCTCAAAATAAGACAAGAGCGAAATGCAGGAACGAGGAAGAAATGTCTCCTAAAGTGGGCAATGTTATAATAGTAATGCCGAAAGTTTGCTCAGAGGATACCAGGAATAAGTGAAATCAAAGGCTTACCTTGTCTTTGCAAATTTGTTGAACACAATATACACATAAATACTTACATGGCTAAAGCCTGAAGGCCTATCTTTACTGAGAATGGGCCTGCTTGAGTTTAAGCTGTGGCCCAATAGTACGTAGTTAATTGAGCACTGTGGGGTGATTTGGGAGTACACTTCCCATTTTAGTCATTTGGGTTCTTTGTGTCTGTAACCCTCCCCCTGTACCCCAGTCTACGGCTGCTCCATGGCCATTACAAATGATGAATTGTGCTACAGTTAAGCTAGAAGTAGGACAAATTGATCAAAGTGTCAGGTGCCCCCTGTGATGTCTAGGTCTCCACGAAGAAGGCAGAGAAGAAGGAGCTGTCAAAAAGTTTCTTGTGCCAAGGTGGTTGGAGATAAATGTTTACCTGCCACTTAACACTTTCTGCCTTCTGTCAGACTCACATCGTGTCCTTGCTAGCCTACATAAAAAGAAGTAGTAGCTGAAGATCTTGGGAGTTGATACAGTTATAGCAGCTGTAAGTTGTTCACCATATTGTTCTATGGGTCCACAGCAGACAAAACCCATGCTCCCCCCTTTAAACCAATGAGCCTGATATCGGAGGTGTAGTGCTGCAATTTGAGATAAGCAGTGCTTGGCTCAGCTTTGGTTTTGTTCTGATAAAGCCGGTCTAATTAAGCTTGATTTAATCGGGATTGCTTTTAAGCACAGCACACAGCCAGAACAGATACTTTGATTTCAAAAGTAGCCCTTGGGAAGGACTTGAGGAAGAAAGAGAAGGAATGAGATAGAGAGCAAAATTAGTTTGAGTACAAGTGAAGAGTTGCTTTTTCTTTTTTTTCTTTTTTTTTTTTGCATAATACGTGTTACTATTCTTGGATACACTGATGCCTTTAACTTGCATGAATGATTGCAGGTTGGGTGGTTTGTTTCTAGAGGATGAGGGAAGAAACATGGACAGCCCTGATTGTCTCTGGCAATGGCAAAATATTTGCTGTTTTCTTAAATAATAATGCGCCACTCATTGTCAACATCTTCTGATCACAAATGAAATTTGCCTTTCTGTCATGCAAAAGAGCGATTCCCCAGTGTCTGGGAAAGTGCTGTGTGTGTGCTGAAGGTAGCTGTGGTCCCTGCTTACATCCTGATGTTTTCCTTCAGCTGTAGCTGTTAGCACAGAAAAACAAAAAGTTACCTGGACCCTGCTGGTAAACACTTGGGAAGAGCTAGATCTCTCATTTATGCTAAAGAATTGAAAGCCAAGTCGCCAGCTCTACAATAAGTCACACTAATGATCCTGCTATAAAATGATGTCTTTTCTAGACCAGAATGATAAAAAGGGTGCCCCTCTGACTCATTAGCATCGGGGCATAAAGATAGGTGACCCAGATATAGAAGCTAGACATATTTCTGAACCCTGTTTCCATTGAGCAGTATGCTGCATGTGCACAGTTTGGGCACAACTTGTCATGCTGTTGGCCTCATGGCGCTTTAAGTGTCTCTTACCTGTCCCCTAGTTATGCCATTTCTCCAGTTTCATGGATCCAGGCGGCAGCTGTAACGGTGGGCAGGGGGAATGTTTTTCGAAGGCCGGTCCTGGTGTCATTGACTGAACAATGATAGAGCGCCCGGGTATTGAGCGGCTCCACACTAAATCTTTGTAAAGAGCACTTAGCTCCCCTGCGTTAGCCACAGAAAGAATATCTGTCAATGACCATCAGTGGATGCTTTCATCCTTAGGCTCCTCTGCCCGTATTAGTTTGCAGCTTCTAAGTGTATTTTTCCTCCTCCCTTGCTATTTACTGAAAAAAAATGACATGTCTGAGTCAGGCCTCCAACTTAACACTCAAAAGCACTATGAAAGGCTTGTTTTTACATGATATGTCAGGTGGATGTTCATTAAGCTAGAGGACATCTGCCGCTTCAACCTAGCATTAGACCTTGACACGTCTATGAACAAGTGAATTTGTGTGTGTTAATTTATACTTGTACATTCCTTTGTTGTATATCATCCTGATGTGTTAATGTCTGTATGGTTCTATAAACAGATTTGCCTCTGTTATCTGTTCTCTTACAGAGGGAGATGAAACCGGTGTGATGGATAGCCTAATGGAAGCTCTACAGTCTGGAGCAGCCTTCCGTGATCGACGAAAACGGACACCGCGCAATGGTAAAGTAGCAAAAAAGAAAAAAGGCTTTATGTTACATAATTTTCTTTCTCTGTCAGTCCCAACGCAATCAGCTCCTGTCTGTCACATAAATGAAGCAATGCCTTTTTGTGTATAATGAGTGTGTGAGCACTGTGCATGTGGCCTTTTGATTTGCTTGAGTACCCATGACTCACATATACAGTAAATATGAATACATATAGGAACATATGCACATATGTAGAGGTGCTATAGAAACGAGCACACACGTGGCCATTCTAAGTTAGCGATGTGTTGTCCCTTAGCCTTTTGTAAAGAAATGATCACAATGCAGCCATACAGGCTGAGGTTGTGCAGAGGCTGTGTAAGTGTAATTCTCTGTTAATACATTCAGTTCGACCACGATGAATGGCCTGGTGCCCAGGGGTGTACCACCTAGTAGGGGTGCCAGGTTCAATTGATATTCAAGTCAGAATTCTGCAGAAGAGCAACAGGTGCTGCCATCTCCACTCCGGCAATCACTGTGGAAATAAGAAGGGAAAAAATCAGACTGGATTAGTTGAAAGACTCTGGGGAGAAAAACACATTTTGTAAGGCATTTGAAGTCATTTTCAGTCCAATCCGACTTTATTTATTAGTTGTTATTAGATTTACATTTATTTGAATTTTTAAATATGTAATAGTCATGTTTTCAAGTTTTGAGATGTTGATTTTGCAGTACTCACATATTCACAAGATGTTTTTAAACCCTTTGATGTGGTGTGTGCACGCCGCTCTATCATCGCCATCAGTCATCTTAAGTGTCCAAATCAGTGCATGTGTGTGAGGTTATACCATAACCATTACCATATACCATTTCCAAAAAGACACTAAATAGTTATCTTTGAATAACACTTCAAAACACAGAATTCCTACGCTATGATTTAGATTTAAGCTACAACTGTCCATTTAAAAAGCTTTGGTTTCTAGAGTGTTACAACAAACACACATGCACACATACAGATTCAATACAATGCTGCCTCATCATTCCACACAACTAGCTGCTTTCTTCACCCTCATCTTCTTCATTCCATATTTCTGTATTTGGGTTCAATATGAGCCTGTGTTGTCTTGGAGATTAATTTCTGCCAAAATTCTGAGATGTGTCACCCTTGATGCCTTTTTTCTCTCTCTTCTTTTTTCTCCATCCTTCCCTCCTTCGTTTTACCTCCTTTATTTTATTGGGAACCTTTTTACAGGTGATCAAAGCCCATCCAGTCCAGCCTCTCGGTGGCCAGGTGCTAACTATGGTAACAGAACCCTAGGTGTGTGCATTTAAATACCTTTTTAACCGAAAACCCAGCACCACCCCCAACACCTGTCTGTCCTGGATGTTTTAACTTACACGTCCTTCCTGTCAGAACACTAAAGCTGGGCTGGTCTACAACATGCATAGTAAAATGCTGAGTTATTGCATTTGACTTTGCTAAAAATTGTTAAAAGGTATTATATGTAAGATTTACAGTGTAAACAAACATTAGAGCTGTATATGAATTTGAATCTTAACAAAGACTTCACTTTCACCTCCTTGTTTTCATGAAATTCAAACTTATTCTGAAAGATTTAAAGAAGTGATCCAAAGAGAATCATGATTTCTACAGTAATTTCATCAGAAACATATTTCAGTCTGCAACGTGGATGAAATCAAACTGAGGACCACAGCTTTTTTTACCTGGACTAACATATGCTATGGCATATCAAAAGAACTAATTACTGATGTGGACGAGCTGTAAACAGTAAAACCATACCCATTTAAGACTTTTTTATTATAGCTATAGCCTTTATTATGTAATTGTACATTTATCAAGTCAGTAGAAACAAAAGTCTACATATACAGTAGATACAATTTATTAAAACATTTAAAAGGTAGAACATTATTACCAATTACTGTATATGTTCTTATGTGTAGAAATACATAGGTAGAATTAAAAACATGCTGCGGTAGATGAAGAGACTTCAGACTGTAATGACTTTCATGCTTGAACTGGTAAGAGAAATGAAGTAAATCTCACATTGAATACCTTTTCAATTAAATACATTTGAGTTCACAAATATTAAAGTTGCCCTTGTATTTACTGAAACGAAATGCTTAATATGTTTGACATGATTAAGACCCTATCACTACTTGAAGGTAGTAGCTTGTGTTTCACTCAGCATAACTTCTGTCATGTAGAACTGCTCCAGTCGTCATACAATGGCCACGCGCTTCCTGTTTGCCTTTGCTTTCACAGCATGTCACTTCCTGTCTTGTGGCTGCACTTAGGAAGTTTTTGCTGGAGAGGTCCGTAGACCCTCCTGTTATGGTCACTCACAATAGTTTTGTGTTTTACCTGTCTCTTCCCTTATGTGTTTAGTAAATGTCAGACTGATGTGGACATAAGCACATCTTAATTATTTGCCTGCTTCTACAGGATTCTTGCTTTTATGCTATAAGCAGTCCTACTTTGTGGCAATTTAAAAAATGAATGGCCTTTGACCCTAATATTTTCAGTTGTCTGTGTGCATGCCCTGCTACATGTATCAACTGATTTGGTTAAATGTTTTAATAGCTGAAATGATGAAAGTGTGTAAATGGAGGAGAGTGTATGTTTAGTGTGATGCTATTTTCGTCTGAAAAGTAGCATTCTTTTCAGAAGTTTTTCTTTTTTGCTCAACTTTAGTTAAGTACTTAGTCTAGTAAGAAAAAGGGAAGAAAACTGGTGGAAAATAATCATCAATATTTGATTAACAGAAAGCTTTTGAAGCGTTTTTTTTTTTTTAAAGTCAAGTCAAAGAGAGGTCCTTGGCAAGTTGACATCTGGTTGAGAAATCTGTCTATACAGAAACAGACTACTGCTTCTTTGGTTAGAAGAAGCCTTTGACAGTATGCATGTGTAGGTACCAATTAAATATAGTTAGTCTTACCTCTGTGCAGACTTATGCTCTTGAACCAAACTATCAAAAGGAGTTGAACACTTTTCCATATGTGTCCAGAGTGGACAGACAGAGTTACAGTTTGGGTTGTAGGAATACTCATGAATCTTCTGATTACCACTGCTATGATCATTATTTATGGAAATCAGGACTGAGAAAGATCCTGTGCTTTTATGCCGAGCAGCAGTTTGGAATTTAAATCCCTCTCGTGTGCTAGGATGGTCCTGGAGATGGCACCACCTTGAGAAATAAAGAGCAGTGGAGGATCTTGGGGTGGATTTTTGGGTAAACAGGCAATGTTTTTACATAAAAGCCTTGGTCATTTTGTGGTGAAGGTCACTGAAGACTATGATACAATGAAGCAAGAGAGGAAAAGAACCTTTCCATATTAGTACTGTCCGCTGTTGTTGTTTCCTGAGTGTCATAAAGGCTGACAAAGGGGGTAGAGTTTACTTTGGTGATGCATTCCCTTTGCGGATCATTTAGTCCTGTTCGCGTCATGTGGCAATGACCGCCAGTGTGATATTTGTCGTTTACAGCTGATTGTGAAATGGGTGAGATCAGAGTCAGCAAGAGGGCATGACATTCAAAAATGATGTGGTGGTTCCTTTTGGTTGTAGGAGCAGGAGGTTGTACCTTTTGAAAGTGCTAAAGTATCTCAAGGTCTATTTATGACAGAGGGGAAGATAAGGCAGTAGATCTTATTGGGGTTGATTTCAGTTGTGTTGAAGGGATTCACTGTCTTGCTAAAAATTGGGCAGCTTGAGGTTAAGGCTCCTAATTCATTGTGTTGTTAATTCATTTTAAAAGAAACTAACTGTTAAGTTTCCTTGGTCTCTTGGTTGGTGTCGATGACTTTGTAGAACAAATTTTAGTGTTGAAAAAATGAGTTGAGTTGACAAAGATTTTCTAACCAGAGTGCTTCCTATTCCCCTTCCTCATTGTTGATGTTTATGGTATGTCCGTTTAAGAGGAGTACCATATCCAGAACATGGCGGTAGGATGCAACCTGCTTGGGGGATGTGTCTGGGCAAAATGATAGCTGACTCCGCTTCTCAGGCTCAATAAAAACTGCACCCTTATAAGTGAAAGTATGGAATAAAAATGGTTTTCCGCTGACACTGTTTGATGTCTCATGGGGTTATTGTATAACTTAATATCTTTTGCCTTTCTTTATGAATATTTCTCATAGAAAATTGAATATTCTGTGTTCCTGTGACCTATTTTCCAATTCTTGCTCTCTCTGCTTGGCGGCATTTTTCACCATCATACCTCACCGGAATGAAATATGCAGTGACGACTCCCTGTTTACTGATATGACTGTGGTTTGATAAACAGCTGCATGGATTCTCTACTCAGAGGTGAGGAGAGGGGGAAATCCGTTTGACATGCTTGCTACATGGAGTTTTTATAAATTGAATCTGGAAATGAGTTCAGCTGCCACAGAACATCGCTGGAATTTGTCTCATCTCATGAGGGTGATGCAGAAATCTTTACACACAGTACGAGGGAAAAGTATTCTCTTTAAAAAGAAAAAATGAACTTCCCCAGTGATGGACGATTTGGAGACAAAAGACATCTCAGTCAAGGAACGCTGTATGTGATGTTTCTTCTTTGTGCACTGTGGGAACCGTCAACATTTTAGTCAGTAGAGTGATGTTGTAATTTTTGGGTCAGTACTGCAGCATTAATGTTTGTGTACTTCTGTTGTGTAAATATTTGCTTCCTCACTGAGTCGGGGACTGGCAGCATTTCCGTCTCAGAATTACTTGAGAGAAGGTTTTCTGAGCAGTTGTATGAGACTGAGAGCAGAATCTATTCACTCCTGCTTGTCATGTCTGTTGTAATCTCATGCTTTAAAGCTTGATTAACCTCTTGTCATCCCTAAACCAGCCGTGCATACCGGAGAGTCTCTCAGATATCCACAAGAATCTTCCCTTACGTCAAAAGGAGTTCATTACAACCCAGCATATAGAGTTTTTTTTTGTCGTCCTCCAGGCAAAACAATACTTCAGCAGACTACCTCAAGTGTCAGGCTGAACACAATTCTAGCTGCCGCCAGTCACAATTACACCCAATTCCAGAAGCATTTCCTATTTCCTTGTCTCCACTTTGTGCAAGATGGAAAACCTAACCCGAGAGGCCATACTCGTGTTATGCAATTACACCAGCCAGTTCTAATTCAACACACACAAAGTGAATGGATTGATGGAGATGAGAAAAGCTACATTTTTTGTTTTGTTTCGCCTTATTTAAGGAAGATTATGTAGCATTGAGTTGCTGAATCTGATTAGTTTAAACTATATGTATTTTCACAGACAACATATGCTTCAATTAAGTTTTACTGGAAAAAGGCTTTGAAAAGATGTACAATTACCTTCTTTTTTCCATCCTCTATTCCTTTTTTTTTTTGCTGGAGTTACCTTGGTATCTGGAAGGAGATTGTTTGTAGAGAACAGGAGCCCCACATACATCCTGGCCCATCGATTTATGGTCAGGGATGAAAGCCACAGACTCACTAGGTCTTTCCTACTGGGGGGCATCCCAAAAGACACATCAATCAGATTTCAAAGAGAACCAAGCCAATCGTATTTATTTGCTCGCTTTCCAACGTCATTACAATCCCAATCCAGGGCCTCTCTCTCTCTTTCCTCTTCCTGCTCTCTTGTTTCACCTTCACAGGTCGGTCCATCAAAAGTTCCCTCCTGCATTCTATATAGTAAGCCTCTTAAGGTATTATTTGACATTGAACAGAGAGGGATCGTCTTATGTCCATTAAAATAGAGATGCAGTGATATAATGCTTGTCAGGGTTACAGAATTTCAGCCCAACTATCTAATCCGCCCCCCAAGGCTTGCAGTTAATTCAGCTTTTCAGGTCAGACAGAGTGAGCCCCTTGTATGTTTAATGAAGATTAAATTACCTATTTTCTCTCATGAAATTTTAAAAGAAGAAAGAGAGTGAATCTGCAAGGCGCCAATGAAAAGACCAAGGTAAGGTGTCTTTAAAAAATGTTGGCCAAAAGGAAACGCATTTTCCCTTTTGCATTTTTAGCCCGCAAACTCATTGATGACATCATGATCTATGGGTACTTCCACTTCATACATCTGTTTGTCATCCACATACCTCGGATGCCAACAACCACAATGTGTTCAGCCAGGCAGCTATTCTCACATTGTTCCCCTGATCTGGGGAAAAAATCAGCCATTTCTTCCTTTAATTACATCACAGCAAGTGATAGTGATCGTAATTCCCTCAGCAATTAATTTGCTCACACATATGTTGTACCAATCGCTTTATCTCCCTCTTGTTGTCTCTCAACCACTCTACCAGTTGTTCTTCTGTTCTGTTT